TTTTTTCCACCACCATGTCCCTTTAGGGGCTCCGTACAAAAGATAGCTAACAGACATGGGAAAAGGCATAAACTTATTTTTAATTCATCCATCCTGTGTACTTTTGAGTCCACAGTCAGTGAGGAATCATATGAGCATGCAGTTAAATTTTCATCTCTTTCACTGTTTAAACTTGACATCATCTGTGCAGTCAACAAACAGCCCCAACATCACTTGTAGTTTTAATATCAGGATTCTTCTGGCTCTGAGCAATTAATACATTGCACCTTTTGTTCTCAAGCAGATCTGGCTGCTTAGAGAGACTGCCTGCTCCTCATTTGCATATTTATTGCACTGGTCCTTTAGCCAGGGAATGATTGATGTGGGGCCGTCCTCCTGAATCCTGAACACCCCCCAGTCTTTTGATTTATTTGCTCTCATTATGTAAAGTGAATTGTAGCATAGGCTTGTTTGTGCTAGCCCTGCTTTGCTCGTTGGCTCTGTAGGAATACTAGGAGGTATATTGTCTTCAGAATATTTTAAAACGATTCACTTGGTTTGATCATTGCTAAAGTTTTTTTTTTTTTTATTGGTTTAGTTGTATCTATGTGCTTTCCAGGTAAAGCTCGTGGTAGGGCATTGTGGGTTGTGGCCAATGACAAGGCATTGCTATACGATTGCTAAGATGTTTTGAGTGGTTTTTAGTACATTTTTTTAATTGCTTGTGGCTTCTGCGTTGTTTTGGATGGTTGTTTACTGGCCCACGTCCAAATAGATGACCATTTAGTCTCTGCACTCTCAGAAAAAAGGTACAGAGCTGTCACTGGTACAGTACCCTAAGGTACAAAAGCTAAATAGTACATTTTTGTACATTTTGTGTACATATTAGTACCTTTTGAAAGGGTACCGTACCGTCCCAGACTAGTGACAGCACCTTTTTTATTTTTAGAGTGTATGATACGTTGGTCTATAGAAATGGAACTGGTTCCTCCAATGAAAGTCTGTGGAATTTTTGTTTACCGTAAGGCTGAAAATCTTAAGTACCTCTCCTAAACCATAAATGGCTGACTTCTAGTTGTCTTTGACAATGTTTTAAAATCAAAATGACATACTTCACCTTAAGCTTGTTTTCTGTGCCATGGAATCAGTATCTTGTTTGATGGCTTGTGCGCCTTGGGCTGTAGAGTTCATTTCTTCATGTGTTTTGATGCTTTTAACTAGTGTTGTGCAGGAATGAATGACTAAGATCAGAGGAGGTGAGTTGTAATGACCCTGCGTTTACAGATGGTGCTGTATGATCAGCTCATATCTATGTGTGTGTGGTAGGTCATAAAGCCCTAAAGGCTCTACAAAGGTCTCTGCTGGAACTCCAAGATCTGCTGCTCTACCAAAACCCTGAAACCAGAGCCATCTCTCAGGGAAAGACCTGGGGCACCAGCAGGTACCAAATTCTACTTTTAAAATAAGTTTGTGTTAATAAAATGTTGACAGAAGTTTCTTTTTTGTGTGAACTACCTCTTAAAAGGCTCCATTTATTAACAGAAGTCTATCAAAAAATACCGTGGTATTCTTCAAATTACTTTGGAGTGCTATGTAACCATTCTGTATACATTGTTAAACATCTTGTGATGTTAATTAACCATCGTTCCAAAAAATGTTTTGACATATCGCCTCATTCTTTTTCTATTTCCCACAAATGGAAATTGTGAATGATCAATGGAAACTAATCGGAGATCATTTTTTCCTACATGACAGTTGTCCAAACTCCAGAAGTGTACAATTTTCTTATTTATAGCTCTTATTTCACATGCAGCAGTGCTAAAGATGATAAAGAGATTAACAGTGAGGATGATATGGAAAATGGGGATGATAGCCAAGAGCAAGAACAGGAAGCAGTGCGAAGCGGACCCCCCAAACGAAAACTGGAAATGGCAGAGTATCCCAACTTTATGGCCAAACGATTTGCTGCTTTTCTGCCTTACCGTGATGCCACCTTGCAGAAATGGTATGACAAGACGCGACTCACAACGGGCAAGAGCAAAAAGGTAAAAGAAAAGAAATACTCCAAAATCTTGTGAAAAGTCTTCCCAGAAGACTCGAGGCTGTTATTGCTGCAAAGGGGTGTCAGACTTGAGATTAATGTCTATGGATTTAGAATGAGAAAAATTTGCAGATGGTGTCAGGTGTCCTAATACTTTATATTATATTGTATTGTATTGTGTTGCATTATATTATATTATACATACACATATATACAGATGTGTGTGTGTGTGTGTTTAAATGTCACACAGTAGGACAATTCTGTCACTGCTCTACATGTCAACTTGTATGTCTTCACTAGTTTACTATCTTTTTGTGTTTCCCATCAAACAGGGTTTCGGAGCATTTGACAGGAATATCCTTACTCAAGTGGAGCAGGTTTTAATGGACAAAGAGAGGCTGGTGAGACGTACACAGACGCGCAGGTCTGAATACAGAGTTGTGGGGAAGCCGGAGCCAATCACGCCTGAAATAGACAGCAGTATCACAGAGGGAGAGGTTAGACACCGCTCTGCTTTTAAAGGACAATTTATTTTAATGAATCTACTGCTCTGTAGTTGTAAGAAAACCACATTAGCCATAGTGTTATTAGCATTATTAAGTGCAACATTTTTAGGCTAATCAACCCAGCCATTTCAGTAGGTTATATATCAGTTGATTTAATTGTATTTACATGTAAAACTGCTTTTAAAAGTAATAGACTCATTGAGCTCACTCTCTGTGGTTTCAGGCAGCTGAACTGGCACTGAAAGCTAATGTGCACCTTAAAGATCTGGATGAGGAGATTTTTGATGACGATGACTTTTACCACCAGGTAAGAAAACAGGCAGGATGAATTATTATGCAGTTACTTTGTCAACAACAATGTCGAGTAGTTATAAAGAAAATAGTAGACTGATGTGATGTCAGGGCTCTCACTCTCTTTTTTGCACAGCAACTTCGAGAGCTTATTGAGCGCAAAACAAGTGCGACAGACCCCAATGATCAAGTGGCCATGGGAAAGTGAGTATGTATGCGTGTATATACCTGTTCATGTGTCATTCACATTTGACCGTAATAACTCGACCTCTGCTCTCACAGGCAGTGGCTTGCCATCCAGAAACTACGTAGTAAAATCAAGAAGAAGGTGGACACTAAAGCCAGCAAAGGCAGGAAGATCAGGTAAGCTGTTATTCTCCTAAAAGAGTCAAGATGTGCTCAGACCTCAGTAGATACACGTGAATCTCACAAAACCTGTCGATGACATGCCATATTTCCCTCTAAAAACAAAAGAAAAGGAAAGAAATTTCTCGTCAATCTTCTCCAATCTTCTCGTCAGGTTTCACATTCACAGTAAGCTGATGAATTTCATGGCTTCAATAGACAACAGCAGCATGAGTGATGATGCCCGGTGAGTGACTCCTCATGTCTGATTTTTCTCAGAGTCAGACATCTGATCATACACACACCCTCACATTCGTAAGATATGTAAAGTTGTGTAAAGGCATAGTTCACACACGAATGAAAATCTCCCATTTACTCACCCTAACGCTGTGGAACACGAGATGTTTAGCAGAAAATCACAGCTGCTGTTTTCCAAACCACAACAAAAGCTCACAAAGAAGCACATGAAAAGCAGTTCACATGACTTGTGCATTATATTCTAAGTCTTATGAAGCTATAGAATAGCTTTATGTGATGCACAGACTAAACCTGTTATTAGAGCAGCTAGAACATTCTGCTAAATGTTCCATTTTGTGTTCCATGGAAAAAAGAAAAAAGTGGGTTTGGAATAAATGATGACAACTTTCATTTTTTTGAGTGACTTGTCCTTTTAACTGTCAAAGCGTCTTCAGTATATGATTTGAATGGCCTTACTGTGTTTCTGTGCGGTGGTGACACCAGCAGGAAGTTGTAGGTGTGTGTGTGCGCATATGTTTAATTAACGGTTCAGTTGTGTGATTCTCTGTCCTGTCAGCCAGCCGTAATCCTCCTCAAACAGAGAACAGGCTAATCAAACACACTGTGGAGATATGCACATACACAAACACTCACACATTTCAAAGATTTCACTTTTAATCCCTCTTCACATTTTTTCTTTTGTTTTGTTTTCCAATGTTTCCATAAAGACAGTTGTGCATATCAGGTGTTTAGTAGCTACATTTTTTTCTTTCATTGGCACATGAATGATCAAAACATAATGCATCATATTAAACAACATGCATACACTACTGTTCAAAAGTTGAAGTCAGTTTTTTTTTTTTTCAGTTTGTATTTTTTTTTAAAGAAACTAATATTTTTTTTTTAGCAAGGACACATTAAATGGATCAAAAGTGACAGAAAAGACATTTTATAATGTTACAAAAAAAATAATATTTCAAATCAATATGCCTCTTTTGAACTTTCTATTCATTAAAGAATCAAAGAATCCTGAAAAAAAAAAAGATTACCGTTTACACAAGTATTAAGCAGCACAGCTGTTGTCAACATTGATAATAATCATCAATCAACATTGGTTTAATCATCCTAAAGATTACAAATATATATATATATATATATATATATATATATAAATTTTTTTTTTGCTCTCCTGATACTGGTCAGTTTTTGACATTTGGGGTTATTTTGCTTCCATAACTCGTTTTCTTTCCACTAGTCTGAAAGAAGACATCCAAAACACGCATTTAAGTGTTTATTCATTTATTTATTTTTACACTTTATCTATTTGCTTCTGTAGATTTAAAGGCCTTTTTTTCTCATTCACTGAACTAAAAATCTGTGCTTCAGTAGCACATATACACCATACGTTCCAGTTTTATTCTATATTCTGAAGGTTTTACAGAGGGTTGTTAATGTATTGTTCACCTGATATGTATTTTACATTTTAATACTAACAGTTGACAGTATTTTCTGATATATGTGATAAAAAGATTAAACGCGCGCACACACACACACACACATACACACACACACACACACACACACAAACAACTATGGATATCCAAAAACCCCTCTAAAAACATTTAACTCTAATATGCCACCAAAATGAAGCAATCATTTTGAACCTGGCTTTATCCAGTGTTCAGGTTTCTGTTCTTGAAATTAGGGAAATTAGTGCATGTTTAATTAGATAATGGTAATATCTATTAGATAAACTTGTACCCTATTCACCTGTACTGTCTTTCTTAAACTTGTTTTTGGGATGTTACGCAGTATTACTTTGGTAAGTGCCTTTGAATACCATGTAGTACATGAATATGACACATTCAGCACCATGGTATTACATCAGTAAGTGATATTCCTGTCACTGTAACATGGTATCACATTATTTTATCTAAAGGTGCAGATGTTGAAGTACATCGTACATAATGGCACTACCTATCAGATATTCTTAAAAACAACTGGAGATCTTAGTCCTGATTTTTTTTACTCTCCTTTCTCCTCAGTTTTCTGTCATCTAAATATTGTTCTTCTTTCTCACTCAAAGCTGTCAAATTGCTATAGATAACTCGGAATGCAGTATATAATATGATGCTTTTTTGTTCTGTTTGGAGCATTACAACAGCAGTCAATATTGACTTTATACAAATAAGAGCTTCAACATTCTGCTAAATAGAATCATACAGGTTTGGAATGATATGAGAGAGTACATTTTTGCTTTAATAAAACATGGAAACCCTATCTGAAAATCAAAACCACAGTCTTACAAAATCAAGCCTTGAACACATGCTTGAATACACTGATCTTCTCTCTATAGTCTTCTTATTGTTTTATTTTCCTCACACACTCTCAGTAATTATTCGTGAGGACGTTTTAAGGGTTCTAGCATATGCTGCACTGGGTGTGGAGAGGTGCAGAGGAGAGAGATGCAGGATTAGAGAGGAGAGGAAGGATTGATGAAGAGGTGGAGGTGATCATGTTCACAGTGCTGTGCTACTTGAGCACGCAGAGGACTTGAGGTGACGGAAATAAATTGTGCTCCACTATAATGCATGCAGCATGCACCACAGTTAGGGGGTGTGCCCGAAGCGTGAATCCTTATAAGGGAAAACACGATTCCTAACACCGTGTCTACACCGGACGTGAGTGGCGCAGCATGACAAAATACTATAGTCTATAGAACTCATTATAATCAGTGATGCTGTCTACACTGGATGCGACACGACAAATCCCCAACAGTAGACTGCTGTTGCGTTCTATTTCTGACGTGCTGACACACACACACACAGTAACGCATGTGCTTGCTGGATTGGTCTTATTTACATAACAACCGGTGAACTACAGTAATACCGATGTATGCCGATGGCATCAGAGTGACCGGTGACCTTTGCCGATGAGGAATTGTTGGCGACCTTTTTTTTTCGTACAGCCAGATGCATTCATTTCAACGGTCGCTTTGTCGCGTCCAATGTAGACCGACTTTAGCTGATGTGGCGCGGCGCAACACGACAACTGTTGCGTCCAGTGTAGACACGGTGTAACGGTTGCCTGTTACATCCTACAGTACATAAAATTTCACTTACCACATAAACAGAGATGACTGAGGACGATGGCGAATGATTTGCACACACACACACACACAGTAACGCATGTGCTTGCTGGATTGGTCTTATTTACATAACAACCGGTGAACTACAGTAATACCGATGTATGCCGATGGCATCAGAGTGACCGGTGACCTTTGCCGATGAGGAATTGTTGGCGACCTTTTTTTTTCGTACAGCCAGATGCATTCATACACACAAACACATTCCCTCAGCCTGCTTACACAGCCACCCTGCCGTATCTCAACTCTGGCTCCATAGTCCCGACACGCACCACTGGCCCCATGAATGTTAATGCCGACGTTGCATGATGGGGTGCACACTCTCTCTTGCACAAGGGCGAGCAAGCAGACATGCAGCATACATATTCAGCTGGGGCTTAAGAGATAATCACAGTGCATTTGCCCCTGATGGGGTGATGGTGAGAGCCGGGAATTCTGAGTCCTGCGTAAACCTCATCAACAGAGATGGGACTCAACTTTCCCCTTTGATCCTGAGCATCTCTCCTTTACCCCTCTGCTTCTCCGGGTTCTGTTTGGATCTGAATGTATGCGTTGTGTGACGGCGGCAGTGTGCTGTAATCCTGAACACTGGTTGTGCATTTCTAACTGGGATTTCAGATTAAGGATGGGCCTGTTAGCCTGGCCTCAGCCCTGCCCCGGCTTTTAATCCTCAATTGGCCTATTTACTTCCAATTATCTGATAAAATATAAAGTAAAAACAGTAGTACTATGAAACATTATTACAATTTAAAATGCTTCTAATATGCTGATTTGGTGCTCAGGATATATTTCTCCTTATCAATGTGGAAAACAGTTGTGCTGCTTAATATTTTGTGGAAACTGATGCTTTTTTTCAGGATTCCTTGATGAATAGAAAGTTCAAAAGAATTGCATTTTTTTAATATAAATATTTTCTAACATTATGAATTGTTACGTCACTTGATCAATTTAATGCATCCTTGTGAAATAAAAGTACTAATTTTATATATAACATTTGAACAGAAGTATACTGTGACACTGGATGTATTGTATTTACATATGAACAGGTGTAAGACTATGATACTGTCCAAAATATGGTACTTTTTAAAATGATATTATTTGACCAGTGACAAAATCCGTTGCTTTCAGCAGAACACTAAATGTTGCCTTTGAGTTGAGAAATAGTTATGTATTCAACCTATTGTGTTCTGTTTGTTTTCAGGTCTGAGCTGTTTCGTTCCCTGTTTGCGAATGGTCCAGTGATGGCACACTGACTGAAACATCGGCATTAACATGCTTAAACTCTAGTGTGTATGTGCTGTATTGCTTTCACACACACTTCAAACCTACCCCAGACTCAAACCTAGGTTTTTGTTTCGAGATTACCTGTAAATGAAACTAAACTTTTCTTTTGAATTGTATAATGTCACATTTTAGTGCCTATTTGTATTAAAATACCATTTTGTCAACAAAGGCAGTGTTTTCATTGATGCTTTAATTTTACACTTAGTACATGATCACATGTAGTGAAACCAATATGCACATCTGTTTTACCCTCTCTGGAAGCATTCTGTAATGTAATCTGATTAGAGGTATCAGAGAAACCTTCTCCTCCAATTATCTACCACAAGCTTTGGCTGCCATAATTTTAATTGGGTATTGAACTGCCGTGATTCAGTTTGTCGTTGTTGGTAGGTAGTATGAGAATAGACTGAAACCCACACAGAGGGGACTGAATGAGACAATGATTGCTGAATTGATAAATCAATGGAAGTGTGGATCCTTCTGTCTGCCATTTGATTTCTCTCAAGACTAAAGAATAGCATGAAGACAAGCACTGATGATCTGGTGGTAGAAACAGTCACCAAACCTAAGGTTTTTTATCTTGGGCTATGCTCATTTGCATACTTTTAATGTGTAACATCCCACCCTCTTTGATCCTTAGAATTTAAGGTGCTGTTTTTGTATATTTATGACATCTATACATAGATAACCCATTATTAACAGCTAAACCGTTGCTTCATAAATTAGTAACAGTACTTTGTTGTGAATTTGCCTATTTCCTGCATTACATTGTGTCAGGTTGACAAAAGGAATTCATGATAAAATGTAACTGGGGAACCCAAACTCATTTGAGTCCAACTCGAAGGTATATCTTTTAGAGCATTTCAGAGAGGACGGGGGTCTCACTTATAGAAACTAACCACTGGGGTACCTCAGGGTTCAGTGTGTGGCCCTTTTGTATAGTATATTATAGAAAATCCTGTTTTCCATAACATGACCTCTCAATGAAGATTGAGCCAAGAATTTAACGTAAGAATTTGATTTTATTTAGTAATTTTTTAGAGGCAATTACAGCTTGCCACAGTAAACAGGAAATCCTCCATTTTGACAAGAGAGAGCTTCTGAGCTAACTCATTTGAGTCCAACTCGAAGGTATATCTTTTAGAGAATTTCAGAGGCCGGGGGTCTCACTTATAGAAACTAACCACTGGGGTACCTCAGGGTTCAGTGTGTGGCCCTTTTGTATAGTATATTATAGAAAATCCTGTTTTCCATAACATGACCTCTCAATGAAGATTGAGCCAAGAATTTAACGTAAGAATTTGATTTTATTTAGTAATTTTTTAGAGGCAATTACAGCTTGCCACAGTAAACAGGAAATCCTCCATTTTGACAAGAGAGAGCTTCTGAGCTCTTCAGTAACACGCTTAGCAACACTTACAGAGGCATGAGAAAATCCAGCACACGATGGGTCACAGCATGTCAACAAATCTGACACAATTTTCACCTTTCATTGGGTCAAGTGCTAGCACTGGAGTGGCGACAACCATCATGATTCCAATGAGAGTGAGGATACAATGGAGCATCATGACTGCCAGTTTAAATTGTGTATAATATTCCATTCACCTCTCTCAAGTATCCTTTGCCACCTCCATTGTTTTCATTTAGTATATATTTACACTGCACTCCTTCTGTCATTCCAGAATATGTTGTAACAACAATCATGTTCTACAGTTACGCACTTACAGTACAGTGTACTATGTTGAACTACAGTGTGCAGCACTTGATGATGACTTGGATATGCTTGTTTAATAAGTTATTAACGACTTCTCTGTATTATATAATCTATGCTAAAAAAATAAACATATTTATAAGTACAATACCAGTGGATACACACTTTTTTTAAATTATTTTTTTGGTTAAGCCACAAGGGAATGAAAGGAGCGCAGTCACAAGTGTGGTCATATGGCTCAATCGACCATCCTGCATGTGAAGAATAATACCATGTCTACAAAACGAATGATGCGACGAAATACAGCTACATCACTCACGAAGCAGGAGTGATCTAGTTATGACATCACTTACTCTCAGTGTGGATGGGTGTTATAACCACACCATTGTAGGAGAAAGTTTAAAGTTGATTTTTAAGTTGCAATGTTCTCCCTTATACAGAGATCCTCTAACAGCAGCTTTGGGAAGCTTGTTTCTACAATTGGTCTCTGTTCAATCTAAGTCTCAAAGTGCACTTGACTAGATTGCAAAACTATAAATGACAACACTAGTACCTTTTTTTACTTAAGTGTTTCTAAAGGTGCGCATTGATGTGCATTCATAAGTTCTGACGCCGAGTATCTGTTATAACTCCTACTTTCAGAATCATAGCCAACAATGTGAAGTCAGTCACAGCACTGCCATGTTGGCTCCTCTAGTTCCAGTTTCCAGTAACATCAGGCCTCTGAGATGATTGTGTGTAAACAGGGCTCTACGATGACGCAGGGGCATCCATGGTGGACAGGATGCGGACCACCTCAGCACGCTGCGTGGGGGAAATGTGCTGGGTCATGTGAACAATGGAGTCCATGGCCACTTCAGGGTTAGCTTGAACCAGGCTAAAAAAGACGAAATGACCAAAACAACGGTTATTTAAAAATACAAAATATATAAAAATTACATGGATAAATAGGGGTATAAAAATGCATTGACCTGAAAATGAAAATTCAATGCTATGATTTAATAAAGTTTAAAGTATAATTTTTTAAAATCCAAAATACACTTATATTTGCATATATTTAATTATACATTTTTAGTAAGACTCCAAACCCAGATTCCCAATCTAATTTTGGTGTGGACAAGTTTGTTTGTCCCTCAAGTGTCCTCCACCTGCAGTTGTATCAATTTAAATAAATTAATTAATTAATAAAAAATATAATAATAATAATTGTAAATTGTACAAAACATTAATTGAAAAATAAAATAATTGAAAATAATTAAATTAGTAGATATTACTTATTTTGATTCACTCCCTCAACAACCAGGATTTCCACAAATCTAGAAAAACCTGGGTAGCCTATATAAGGAAGTCTGGCTTTTAAAGTGTGATATCTAGACCAGGAAAAGTCATGTAAATCAATAAAATCTTAAAGTGGCACGGACATTTTTTTTTTAAATAAAGAATGCACATTTTACTAGTTATGCCAAGCTCTAAAATATTTTATCGGATAGAAATGAAGTAAAAAAAATATTAGTAAAAATCCTAATCCTTACCCAAACAATCTTGAACAACTAGAAAAGTCATGTTCGTAAGACTGGTGTCTAGATGTTACCTGCGGATCTGTTTGAGGATGTGATCCCTGCGGATATATTTGATATTCTCATCGATGACAGATCTGGCACCCTCTTCCTCTGCCAGCTGCCTCTCCAACCACTCCACAACATCCTCATTACTGTCCCACAGATAAGCCTGCGAGAGACAAACAAAAAAATAATACATAAAAAAAATAATAGTACATAAAAAAAAAAAATATAAAAAAACTGTTCAACACATGGAACTTGTTTGAAACATCCTGCCAAACAAACTTTCTGACAATGTTTCTATTTGAAAACCAAATCACAAGCCTAATCAATGGCTCTTCATTTAGGCTTAGATTGATAACATCAGGCTGATCTGAAACAAAGCTGGACTTGTTCTTGTGAAGATTTGTTGAGGCGTTAATGGGCTTCCGCGCTTCTAAAAAACGCAAGCACTTGTAGTCGGCAAGAACATTTAATGCCCCATATTAATCATTTTTAATCCGTTTGCTTTTAATTAAGAAACAGCGTGTTTCTCTGCTATCTGCGCATGACAGGGTGGAGATTAATTGTAGCTTAAGATAGCTCTCTCAGATTAGGGTAATGTATTAGTGGTCCAGACACCGTCTTCTGCAGATACTTTAACCTGCCCTGGAGGCTTGGCTCTGCTCCAGGACCTGGTGTGGCGACTCTTCTGAGGCCTAGTCAGAGCTCGGAACGTTCATCCATTCTGATCATTTATAACTGTCATATATTCTCTGGCCCACACACCACTTCAAGAAAAGAAAGACTTGCTATATATATTTTTTTCTTTATACAGTTCTTCAGACCAACTTCTAGCTTGGCTGGCGCAGCAGTAAATTTCACATCTAAAATGCACTAAAACTACCAAAAAACTTCATGACTCAAATGAAGTCAATGTTACATAAAACTAGCAAATATTGTCAACCAACAATCATACTTCACTCATTAAACAATCGCCTAAAACACTAAAAGCAGGTAGCATTATACTATATATATATATATATTTTTTTTTTATTTTTTTGTAAAATACTTACAAAACAATATTGAAAGCTCTCTACTATTTCTGAATTCACTGTAGCATATGTCATGTTTACATTACACTACAAAATTATTTCTAAGTTTGTATAGATGGCAATGAAACAAAGTCTAACACTTGTGTACGTGTTTAGCTACATCTAAATATTTCATTATAATAATATTTAATGTTTTAGATTTTTATATAAATCAATAAATAGGTATTACTGTTGAAATGTATTGCGGTCTTATTCAGTTTTGTACTATGTTAATTTTTGAATTAAGTTTAACAGTTTAGGAGAAAAAAAAAAGTACGTAAATATGCAAATTGGTCTGTACGTACAAAGAGTTTAGTGGAGGTTGAGTGAGAAAAGGATTCATGTAATTTAAAAGATGTAGTCAATGAATGTATTTTGTGCCAAAGCAATGGAAAATGATCCACAGTTTAGCCCACACAGTCTGCTTTTGTGCTCATTGTGTGAAGAGTTTTTTAACTTAAAAGGTAGGGTAGGCGATTTGCGAGAGGCTAGCAATAGCAAGCTAGCTTTGAAAGTAAAAGATCCCACACTCCCTGCAAATCACTCTCCAAAGACAATATAAATACATTTAGACCACTTAACTTAATGATTGCTGTTGGGATGTGAAGAGACTTTCAAAACAGCATAACAAAAAATGTTTTTTCAACCAAATCACCTACCCTGCCTTTAAGTATTGAGAAATGGGTCCTGGCGATTGACTGCCAATGGTCAAAGTTTAAGACAAAATCCAATTCAAACCCAAAATTGTTTACTTTTGCTTATTAAATGTGGACATATGTTTTTAGCCAGATATTTGACTTATGCCGAGTTCACA